AGCCTTACTTTAATATAATTGAAAAGTCTATTTATGCAATACTGGTTTTAACTCTACATGTCTTTGATTACGTTATACATGTGACTGTTATTCCATTATCAGTAATAGTTATACACCACTACCATGAGGTGGCGCACTTTTGTTAGGTCACGGAACATGTGAAATCAGTTTTTCCTTAATATTGAATAAAGGCTTATTAATAATCATCATTATCAGAACGAAATATTGTCTATTGCCATCGCAATTCCTTCTGAAACCAAATCGGACTGAAAGCCCTCAAGGACAACCGGAAACAGAATTGAAGTGGTTGATTGGAACCTTGAACAATTGAATTCAGCGATTAATATTGAGCACATCTGTCTCTCTGTTGACGTCGTTTTGCATTGTACTGTATTGTATTGCACTACTTTTACAGACTTTAATAATCCTTCTTTTGTTAACGGCGTATCATTTCTTCACGAGTTATTTCTCTGTCTAACACTCAGAAGTGATTTACATTACAAGATCTTTCCCCCCGTGTTTATATATGTTTTATAGAATGACTCCCATACAGTTTGTTTAATTACGTCGTTTTGGTTGTTACGCTTAGCATCAACATTCATTTCACTCAACATATTATAGAAAAACCATCGAGTCATTCTTACTGATCCTGAGTATTCTTCCCCGTTTTAATTATATTTAAAAATTATGTTTGGAATGTTAACATCAAATACTTTATTTTTATTTGGGTGCTCATTTTCTTTAAACGTGTCAAGAGATCAAAACTACAAAAACTGAGATGGTTGTCTTCTTTTCACAGGCATTATACATTCTCTAGCAGATATGTAAATAAACAATGGCCCTAAATAAGTCATTTGTTTTTTAAGTTATTGGAAATAAATCGATTACTGATTACTAAGGTGGTTTGCGGTTTAACTTCAGCCTGCTTTAACAGATTCAAGTGAATTCACCCATGTAATCGCGAATGGCACACAGGTTCAATATCATCATATTTCAATCAAAGCACACCTGAATTAATTTCCGGTCTAGTTTGTTTATGTATTTTTTGAATTCTATGTATATTTCTGTATTGCAATATTAGCGAAATCAAGAGATGGTGATTACCTGTATTTTCTTCATTCAGTAAGTCGGTAAGTTGACCTATTAGGGAAATCTCCCAACATAATAAATTCACCAAATAGAAGAGAATTGTGTAATAACATTTTCAAAAAGTTGACGTGTAATCAATTCGTTGTTTTTGACAAGAGCAGGATTTTCTGATGGAAATTATATACAACTAACATATAATGCACGATCCTTCGGGAATAATCACCTGTCAGTGTTACACCGGAGAATCTCATTTGTGTTGTTACCTTTGGCCTCAGTAATAAATATATATTTGTACAAGAGCACTGGTGATGGTTGTAGAACCATAACTGCCTCAGCTCAAAGATTGTTATGTAATATAGGGGAATGTGAAGGGAAATGTATATTTAATGTTACCTCTGTGTAATTTACAATATATCTGCATTAACCTTCACTGTGATGGACAATATGGGAGTTGACTTAAATGACTGGAAAAAACAAGGTTGGTCAAATTTTGCGGAATAGTAGTTAGAATTTCCAGATACGCAATCGACACATTGTGAGATATCAAAATATGGATGATAAACAGCAAGTGATATTTCCAGAGATGTAGTTGGAATTGAAGCAAAGGAGTGGCCTATTAATCCATGAAACATACTCACACATATCCGTACATATCATCCTGTTTTATTGTGTGTGGGCAAAGCTGTCATGCACACAATCGGAAAAATATGTTATTACTGTAAATAATTATGAACAATGAAAACTGAAAATAAAAACTTTGAACAATTAATAAGGAAAATATGTGATTTGCTATGCAGTTTCCAGAAATTATTACAAGTCCCAGAAGTGCATACGAGTCGTCAAAACGTACAGTTTGGTGACAGAACCCAAATGAGAAGTCACAGCGAATACTTCTAGCGAGTCACCCCTCTAAAAACGTCATTACTTTGCCAATGACATTGAACTTTGCTCTTCCATAAAGCAGCAGTTTCCATCTTCAAATAATCAAAATAAACTTGATACCCTGGCGAAGCATGTCTATTGTTTCACAACGACTGTCCCAGGGGATTTTTGTCTTCTCAATTTCTCAAGATAAACGTCCCAGGGTTGTTTGGTGTACTAGAAGGGCATGTTTATTGGCGGCATTTCTTGTATTAATTTCCATTGCACAAAAAAAGAAAAAGCAAATACTGTTAGTGAAGCACAGAATTTGCATGAATTTTTCTTCCCGGCCATTCACGCAAACTGCAAACGAAGTCTTTTACCTCATCCATAGTTGTTGAGACTTTGCAACCGCCTTGATGGATGTATTGTGACGTATTTTGATCCCGGATTCTGACCTTGCGTTCCGGCTACATGTACTGCCCTTTCATACTAGTTCAATTTCCTTTCATTATTACATCCAAATGTCATGATATTTAATATCTAAAACCAACCTTTATTTCACAGTCACTTTAGTTTTCACTTTTCTAAAATTATTTTACTGATCAAAAGACTTTTCACTCCCATCATGCAATCTCCCATAGTACTTCCGCAGACACAGCGTCGATCGCCAACATATCTAGAAATAACCTCGCTCTCAGGAGCTGAAGAATAAAAGTTGACAACAGCGCCATGTTTTAGTTTACTTTATGTACTCTCACCCAAACCCCCAAAGTCTACTATATTCACAGCTGAACTTGTTCATATCATTACTCATTCAATAATGTGTTCTTTATTACACATAACACTATGTATAATTACGTCATCAAGTGGGTCATAAATTATAATTTTCTTTATATTAAACGACGCTTGGAAATATATAATATAGTGCAATGAGCAACACCATCTTGATATGTATATTTAATTTAGTGGGAAGGAGCATTAACAAAGAAATAGATTCAACATGGAAAATCTGAACACTTTATAATTTATAATAAAATCAAAATGGAATACTGAACATGTTCATATTAACAATGAAATCAACTTGAAACATCGGAGCACTTTGGTGTTAACAATAACATCACTTCAGAACATCTAAGTTTGTCGATATTAACAATGAGATCAATATGCACCATCATGAAATACATTACAGAGTGGACAGCAACACTTTGAAATGAATCGTGAAAAAAATGGACATCTTGGGTGGGCGGAAAACCTTCGAAATCAACAAAGCAGTCACGAATTATTCTCAATAGTGTTGCGAACACGTGAGCTAGGCACTGCTATTTGATTGCACAGCTGCACGTTTCACAGTACATCACATCCTGATGTAAAAATAAGACGATAAACGTTGACAATGATAATTACGTCAGTCATCAGACATTTTGCAACCAAATTATTCCTCAACAAAATTCGTCGTTATTGTAATTACATTTGGTAAAGAGCGCAGAACCTCTGTATGAGTCAATAACCTCTAACAATTGATTGGTTATTACGATGATATTGTATAGCCTTAAAGAATCCATTTGTTTGACGGCATATTATTTAGTGGCTAATTGCAGTAACCAAATCTAAAGACCAAAACAGAGGAAACATAATATAATACGCTGATGAAAATAGACAGCTACTTGCAGTGATCATCACGAAATAAACAAATCGCGTGGTACACATCGAAACAACATTGCAGGCGCTTTCCAAATGTAAAAAGAAGGTAAAATAATAAATTGTTGAGAGACGCAATCAGTAAAAATAATAGATCTAAAATTGATCGGTTTGCGATGCACTGAATTTCATTAATTTGGTATGCATGACACAACCCTCTTCCAATTTGACCCAAATTTGAATCTACTTCATATCATATTCAATTTGCACAGTCAGTTGTCATAAATGTCGAAGTGAATTAATGAAATAATTCATGCCCACACTTCAACTTACCGAAATCCACAGGCTTACATGTGTTCCACATCTTGACCTCATTCCCTTCATTCATATTGTGGTCAAGATGAAATACGCCATTCCGCCATTTTTATTGTTAACAAATTTAATTGTGTTGAAGGGTTTTCACATATTATAATATTCTTAATACAGTAAAGCCGAGTTTCGTATTTCCATTTGAAGGCCACACACTATAAAATCCTAAACTATTATGAATGTATGTTAACCCTTTCCTTGTCTGCACTATTAGTTGGGATCTGAATAGTTCAGAGGTCTTTAGCGAGGCATGTTAATAGGGGATGTTATTTGATTTACTATCTTTTAAATCAAGAAATAAAAAAATAAGTATACTGTAATTTTGCCCCATGCATGTGTGTTTTTTTTTCACAATTGTTTGTTCCATCTATAGAATGACTAGCTATGTGGAATTATCTGCGGAGTTCTCCAGCCTTCTTTTTGCATATGCAAATAAATCAAATATCTCCACTCTACTGAGACGGAGACTTCATCGGACGTATCAATTGATTGGATTTTGATTGAATAGTTGGCATAATTAACTCTTTTCGATTTCGAATATTTGCCTTTCTTGAATATTCATGATCCATTAAAACCTCTTCTCAGATAATAAATATTTAAAAGCCGTCAACCATTACGATGCCGGTGAACAACAGGTTGCATTGTTTGTACTTCCTATCACGAAAGACTGAAACGTCTCGAAAAAACAAGTCGTCTATTGATCGTCGTTATTTCATTTTATTCATAGTAGGGTGCTGTTATGGGCTGTCGTTAAATATGATGGATTAAAACATGCATTGTTTATAAAACCGGTGATGAATTACTAAATGTATCAACACTGTGTTCGTCATCAATCTAAGTTTGCTTTCGGCTATACGTACTCTCACATTATTCCCACACAGAAACTCTAGCGCCAGGAAAGTCAAAGGTTATGCAGATTAGTAGGCAAGGCTAGTGCGTCAGCTCCCCACTACACACGTAAAAACTGCGATAAACTGCTCGAAACTTCAACAAACAAGGGATATATAGAACTATAAGTAGTTAGAGAGCCGGATGACGTCATGGGACCTAAAAGTGACAAAAAGAAGTCGGTAAATAAAGGCAATAAAGAAGACGGGACAACACATGGTACCAATTCGTCACTGGGTGGTTTCTCGGGTAGCCCTCCACGTAAAGAAAAAAGTGCGTCACTGGAAGGAGAGAAAGTTTCCCTGAAATTGGTTTATCCTCTATACAAAGAGCTAATGAAGAAAACAGATAAACACTACGAAAAGGTTCAAAAGATTCAGATGAAACTAAATGAAGTAGAAGAGCGTCAAACAGTCGCTGAACAGACGATAACAGATATGGCGGAGGCCGTAAACAACCTAGATTACCGACAAACAGAAATTGAAATCGAAAGGATCAGCGCTGAAGTAGAAGCGGCCAAGATGGAGATAAAGGAATTAAAAGGTGAAACTATAAGACAGCAGAGGTATTCCCATAGTTACAATTTGAGATTTGGTGGTATTCAGGAGGAAGAAGGAGAAGACCCGATGAAAATAATACAACATCTGATAGGCGACAAATTTGACATTGAGCCTGGAGTAGTAGAAAATGCACACAGAATAGGACTACGCGCCGAAAACCGTCCACCAAGACATATCATTGTAAAAATTATACGCAGACCCGTAAGAAGACAGATATTGATAAACAAGAGAAAATTAAGAGGCAGTGGCATATATGTTAAAGAAGATCTATGTGGAGCAGATTTCAAGAAAAAGAAAACGATGCGCCCGGTGATGAAGGAAGCCTATGAAAAAGGTGAGAAAGTAAGATTCAGTAATGGCACAGTCTACATTAATGGACAGAGATACAAAGAGAATTAAAAGAGAACAGTGAGAGAACTTTTAAAACAGTGAGCAGATGTTTAAATAGAAAACATTCACTAAATGTGTGAGAAGGGGAGTAATGACAATATTGTTTGCGTTAGGCACATAGTTGTGGGCAAACATGGGCTTAGGCAAGAGTTGTTTTTTGTTATTGTTCGTTCTTTGTATATTTAAAACTTTTAAATGGGGAAAGTTCTTAATGAAAATGGGATTAAGATACAAACTTAAACACATTTATTGTATATGGTTCCAAAAGTTAAAATTTTGATCTTAAATGTTCATGGCCTCGGTTATTACAAAAAAAAGAAAAAAGGTGTTCAAATGGATTTCTGAAAGTAAATCGAAAGTTACAATGCTACAAGAGACACATAGTTTAGAATCAACAGCAAAATACTGGGAATCCCAACTCAAGAAATATTGATTATCACATTAACAAAATTTGTAGGGATCCCTTGGGACGTTTTATGATTATAGATGTAAACATAGAACAGAAAAACTTTATCTTAGTGAATGCATACGGCCCTAACGAGGAAGGTAGTCATGTAACCTTTATAAAACAAATTGTAACATATCTAAAGGAATATGTAACGGATTCAGATACTAAAATTATATGGGGAGGAGATCACAACCTGGTGCTTGATATTGGGATGGATAGGGAAGGCGGCAAACCCAGGGGCTGGACAGAATCTAGTAAGATAGTGAAGGATGCAATGGAAACTTTCGATTTAATAGATATATGGAGATTGAGAAATCAAATTAAAAAAGTTTTTTACATTTAGAAGATTTAGAAATAATACAAAGTAGACTAGATTATTTTATAGTTAGTGACAACCTGCAGATAGATATACATAAGGCTGATATACCATGTTTTCTATCAGATCACTCAGCCATAACTTTAGAGCTAGAATGGGAGGAAAGTAAAAGAGGACCTTTCTATTGGAAGATAAACAATAGTTTGTTAAGGGAGGAGGAATATATAGAGTTAATAACGGAAAAATTTGATGATTAGTTACTAGAAGGTACATTTATTAAAGATCCAAGAGCTAAATGGGATTGGATAAAGTATAAGATAAAACAAACCACGTTGTCTTATAGTAAGAAAGAGCAAAAGAACGTAAGGCTAACATAGTAGAGTTAGAACATAAATTAGCTAAAATGGAAATAGAGTTAAATGCCAACACAAATGAAAATATAAAAACTGAAATAGAAACCGTAAAAGTAGTATTACAACAGGAATATGATCACAGGGTAGAAGGAATGATGATACGGGCAAGATGCAATTAGATGGAATATGGGGAGAAAAATACAAAATATTTCTTTCAAATTTGGAAGCAAAATAATAATAAGAGTCAGATAAAAAGTGTGCTCAGAGAAGATGGCACAGAGAGAACTGGCCAAGAAAATATCATAAAAGAAATAAAAGAGTTTTATAAAGGTTTGTACACATCTAAACTAAATACAAAAGAGGGTTTGTTGATAATGAAGAATTATTCTTAAATAATCCTTATGTTCCAAAACTTGAAAATCAACAGGCTGAAAAATGTGAAGGACTAATAACTGAAAAGGAAGCTCTTGGTGCTTTAAAATCAAACAAACACCAGGAAATGATGGCCTAACAAGTGAATTTTATAAACTATTTTGGGATCTATTGAAAATACATATGCTAGACTCATTTAATACTTCTTTTGAAAAAGGGGAATTCTCTCTGTCTCAGCGACAGGGTGTGATCACCTTACTTGAAAGAAGAAGGAAAGATAAAAGATATATACGTAACTGGAGACCAGTGACGCTCCTAAACGTTGACTACAAGATTGTTACGAAATATTTAGCAAATAGATTAAAAGAAGTTCTCTCCAACTTGATACATGTTACACAGAGTGCATTTGTCAAAAATCGCTTTATTGGTGATGTTATAAAGTTCATTGAAGGAGTAATGGCTACACAGAAGAGATGGAATTGCCTGGTCTGTTGGTAACGGTAGACTTGGAAAAAGCCTTTGACTGTATTGAGTGGCAGTACCTGTTTAAGGCATTGAGAGCTTTTAATTTTGGCCAGGGATTTATAAAATGGGTGAAAATTATTTATAACAATATTTACAGCTGTGTTATGAATAAGGGAACATCTACAGGCTACTTCCAACTTCATCGTGGTGTCAGACAGGGTGATTGTATCTCACCAATACTTTTCATATTGGCATTGGAAATATTTCTGGTGAAATTGAGAACACAACAAAACATAAATGGAATTTGGGTGGGGGAAGATGAGATAAAAAATACATCTTTTGCTGATGACTTGACATGTTTTTTCAGGGATATTGAATTAGCACAAAACATGTTTGAATTACTAGAAAAATTCAAAGAAATGTCAAGTCTATCAATAAATAAGAGTAAAAGTGAAGCCCTGTGGATAGGAAAAAATAAAGAGTGCAAAGAA